AGTGAATCCATGCTTTCATTCCTCAGAATCATGCATGTCTTGCCAAAGTTCAGATTCACAATGTACAATGAAAGCACTTTAGTTGACTTTCAGAAAAAGCCCAGTCTTCCAAAGGGCTAAAGGGATTGTAGGAAAGAGTAAAAGAATGTGTGAAAACAGTGGGTACTGGTGTGCCACACCGGTGTGTGAGTACTGCCAGAAAAACATGTTCTACTCATTTCCTCCAGTTCTCTGGACATGTGAGGAATAGGTGGGACATGTTTTCATGAAGGCCTTTCCTAACAACATCCAATACAGAGCTGATACATGCAGCAAGGCCACTACATTTTTAAGTAGCAGTATTTTATGTAGAAATTCACGAGAGACCATTTTACTTGACAACAAGCAACAGAGAATGGGTGAAAAAAGCCACACTTTTGACTTCTGTTAATTTGATTTGTGTGTGGCGTTTGTTGCAACCCCCAAAAAGCAGACTCTTATATGTAAGAAAGCATTCCTTCTTATCATATTTCTATGCTTTGAATTATCCCTAAACAATATGATTCCTTACATGCATACAAAACTGCTTATTTTGCTGGAACACCAAATGTCTCTACAGGTCATTCACTGCAGCTACTCCCAGGGTGGAAGGCAGAGTGCACCAGTGATAGTGCTTTGCAAAGGAGTTCTGAGCCACACTGGCACCACTGCTGATTGTTAATGTAGCAAAGAACAATACTGGGCAAATCCCCTTACACCTATACTGTGTCGTGTGCACTGCTCAATTATAACACAGAATGAGAGTTGCCAGTTAATGTGGACAGTGAGGAAGAAAACATTAGTAGTTCTTTTCTTTAGGGGAAAAGATAATGACAACAGCTGAACAGTTCAGTTTGATAGTTTCTTAAAAACATTTAAAAGGGAGAGATTTTTTTTGTCTTCCCTAAGTCAATAAACTGCATTAAATCAAACACATCATCTCATAGTTCAAGTTCCTGAAAGACTGTTCATATTTTTCGAACCAGGTTTTAAAGATTTTTTTCCTCCTGATACAGATTCATAGACGAAATATCTATCATTGTTTTAACTGTGATTTATGTATGAAAATCTTATTTTTCATGGAAGAGAAAGAACAACCTAAACCCACAGACATTTTCATAAACATTTGGTAAAACTAAGAAACCAAACCATGAAGACCTTATTTTTCCTTATTTGAATTAAATTCGTAACCAGTTTGCCAATGCAAACATGCTGTTTGTTTTAAAATATTTTATTGGAATATTTTGGGTTCAGCATATCATAGTAGCCTCACAGGTAGACCCGATGCAGGTCATTCGCTTTAGAGAACTTAAGTAGAGTGTAGTCTGGATAGAACACAATACAGCTGTTAACAGCACTGATTGAAATAAAAACCTATATTATTCTCCTCCCCTGTCTTTTGGGTCTAATCCCGTAAACTGCCAAGCAGTTCCTGGGACCACCCTCCAGTCCTACTGACTTCGACAGAAATTAAAGGTACACAGAATTGATCTCTAAAAGTTGTAAAAAAGAACATAGGGCAAAAGCAATCCAAAGGGTAAATGCATAGCAATCAAATCATGAGTTGCTCCCTATTCCCAAAGTGCTAAAAGTTTCACTATGATATTTTTTAAAAATAAATTAAAATCTAAATCACCACATACAGGGATGTAATTCAAATATAAAACAGACCAAAATGCAGACAACTCCTATGCCAGGATACCAGTGCAATGCAGTTGTTTTCAATTATCACATGCAGTTCTATTCAATGGCAGTTTAAGGAGGGGGAAAAATACCATATCCAAGACACAAAATCCAAGTACATGTCTACTAAACCAAATGAATATTGTCATCTCTTAAAACAGCTTACTATTAGCATTTAAAATTTGGTTAGTTCTTTTACAACTGATTGCAGCTTAAACACTGACATCTATTCTAGTGCCTGATGTGGTCCGTTAACAGCTGTAATAAATAGGTCTCTATTGTGGTTTTTATCTATGACCTGATTTTTCCCATATTTTTAAGATACAGCATATGATCTGTATTTGAAAATGAAGAACCCTAGTTTTCTCAACACTGTCAATTTTTGCTCAGGGCTATATGCTGTAACAGTTACCCACTTATGTTTATTGGTAATAAGTTATCATAGATAGGCAAACAGAACATAATATGTGCAGCTGATTACTTCCAAAGACAGAAATCTAATGGTTTCATTTATACATGCATATTTGTTGTGAACCATGTCTTCAATTTAAAAATCAGGAATTTGCCATACAGAACATGGGATTTTACAGGCTTTGTTGACATCCATACCAACATTCACGAATAAGACACTCCAAATTGCTTGGATGCATCAGGTAAAAACGTAACTGAAAAAGAGTCCTGCACTTGTTTGAGGCATTGGAACAGTCTGACACAAAATTGTAACCACTTGCAATTATGGGGCAAAAATCCTCAACTGGTGTAAATCAGGATTACTGGGGTTTTTTTGATTCACATCACCTGAGGATTTGTCCTTATGCCTTCACCCAGCATAGAGCAAATTAGTTTGGGCCACGATACAATAAAACATTCCCATACTTCAAGGAAAAAATCATCACATGAAAAAGCATATATTACCCTGTCAGGATGCATTGTGATTCTTTTCCCCATAAAAATAAGAAGCCACCTGAAGGGCCTGTATAGAATCTACATTCAGAATCGTGGCAGACTGCTGTTCTCACAGTCCTTTCAAACCATCCTGCTTTAGTTCACTCAAAATAGTATCAAGCATCCGCTGCCTGAATGAGCATTTTCAAAATAATGACAATGACTCCTTTGATTGGTATAAGTGGGAACATTAAACAATCATTATGAAGGGGAAATGAAAAACAAAGACCTGCAGTACATTAAAATATGATTTTGTTTTAATTTGGAAGCTAATATTCACTGCTACTCTTTGACTAAATGGCGTGGCCCAGAAGTTCCTGTAGCGCAGAATTATAACGGAGATCTGGGTAATTCAAACACGTCAGCCAGTATGAATCTTATGACTAGACTAACCACAGCAGGTCAAATCAATTCCTACTGCGTAAACTGAATTGCACCTTCTCCATAAACTCCATGAGCTGTGCTAGCACAGGTTGTAAGGACTGCACAGGCAGGAGCTGAATTGGTAGGATGGCTGAGGAATGCATATCATCCTACCTCTGATTCCATAGTAACTAGCCACAAAAGGTATCCTGAGGCTATATCAATATGTCAACTG